ATTTCCAACGTGTAAAATGTTCTTAACGGAGCCATTGAGAGAGTGCAATAAGGCGTGAGGGGGAACTAATCTCCCCATTTAAATGTTTGTGGCAATTTTATCTAAATGAATTTTAATGCTAAACGAGGGATAATTCCCTATTTGTAACCCGTTTACTTCTCTTTCCTGTGCCTCTGAAGCTGTCTAACATCATGCGATGAACAATAACAATAAAAATACTGTCAAGGCATATTCTTCATTTTGAATGTGTTATAATTACAGCTGATTAAATGTCTTGGGATGTAGTAGTGGGTTTAATTTGAAATGTGCCCCCCCCTCCCCCCAAAAAAAAGGTCCCACGGAGGAAGGTCTGTGCCCCACTTCGCTTCGGCCGCGAGAAGGGACGCGTGTGCCCTCTCCTGCGAGAGGGCGGTTTGTTTTTGTCTTTCAAGAAACATTAAAAAAAAAACCCCAAACACGGCACAACAAAACAAACAAAACAAAGAAAAAAAAAAAAAAAAAAAAAAAAAAAAAAAAAAAAAAAAAAAAAAAAAAACTGGAAAAAAAAAAAAAAAGGCAAAAAGTGAGCCCCGTTCATTCACGTTTTGGCAGAAAAAAGTGTCATTACTCCGGGCTCACAAAGAGGGAGCCGGGATGTGCAGCCTCCTTGAAGCACAGTGGCCCTTTAAAAACACAGGGAGGAAAAGGAGGGAAAAAAAAAATAAAAAGAACACTCAGAGTTAAAAAAAAAACACCACCAAACAAAAAAACCCCAAACAAAACAAACAACAGGGGGAGGAGGTCCAAGCCGTGGGGGAAGAGGACCCCACTTTGTTGTCTTGCTTCACTGAGAAAGGTCTGCACTGCCTGCCTGCACTTCTGCCTGCTCCACCGCCCGCCCCCTGCCCAGCCCGGGGTACCCGGGGGACACGCGGAGCAGGGGGGCCCCGCCGGGAGCCTGTCCCAAAACACCCCCGGGACACCTCCCGCCGGGGGTGCCGGCTGGCTTGGGAGGGATGGAGGGGCTGTTGCATGATTTTCCTTAATTAAGATATTTGTGTCCTTTTCCTAGCCTCGGGAAACGTTTATTTTTTTTTTTTTTTCTTCCATAGCTGCGATTTGATTTAAAGGAAACGAGAAGGTCTTGCAGCCGCAGCCTGCCCAGGCTGGCTGGGACTGTTTTACTCGCTGGCTGCGGTGCAGAAAAAGTACAAATGTGCGAGGAAATTGGTTAATGAGGAGAGGAGAGGAGGGCCTGCACTGGCCTTGCTTGCAGGGGTCCAGCAGCACCTCATCCCCTTCCAGATATATATTGCCCAGGCAATGTTTTCCAAGTTTTATTTTCCTCCTTCCTTAGTATGCTCAATTCCAGAAAGAAACTCAATAATTTAAACTGCGTATTAAAACTAGAATTTGGAGGAGAGGGTGGGTAATACTATTTACAAATTTCTGTCCAATAATGCCCTACGATATTACATTTATTAACAGGCAGCAGTTCCCATCCTGACAATTTACAGTGCAAGTTCCAAGAAAGTTTCTTTACTCAGCGTAGCATTATTTTTATATTCTTTAAATATGAAGCTGATATTTAAGTAGCAAATGATAGGTAACATCTCCAGAGCCAGCTGAATTTTGTAGCTGCTCGGTTCCCAATTTGGATAGAATGGCTACAAATACTGCATGGGGACAGGAAACAAATTCTGCAAGCAGTGGAGTCACCATGACAAAAAATAATTTGTTTTTATTTTAGATTCAGATTTCATTACTGCACTCAAACTACTACAACTGGGCTTTGAGTTATTATACAATCCAAACTGTTTCAATCAGAAACTCTAAGACTCAGTGTGCAATGATTATTATTAATAATAATTAGCTCCTTGGTTTCTTGATAGAAAAAGGCTATCAACAAGCATTTGTTTAACCACAACAAAAGTATAATTAGCTTATCCCACTTAGTAAATCTGTATGCATGCCAACTCATACCAAACTGCTACTTTTACAAAAAATTGCAATAATACAGATCATTTTTCCAGTCCTTTTTGCACAAAATTTATTTACAATGTATACATAAATGCTCCATGATGGGACTATGGAAAAAAAAAAATGCACACATGACCGATGTCTTGCCCAGAAAGAAAGTCAACATATTAAAAATAAATCTTCAGTCCATGTTTCGAGCTGCATAAAACAGGAAGTGATGTACAAGGTGGTGGTTGCTGCATGGGGACAAGGATGCTCTGATGTGACAATTAGGCTTCAAATACACTGCCTTTCCGTTTCCATGCTTCCTCCTACCAGTCTCCTTAAGACACTGCCTGCAACAGCTGATTAATCATTGTTGATGACTGCAGTTTTTCCCATCCTTCCCGATTTACATCTGTTCAGGCCAATTCAAATATGGTGAGTAAATGAATTAGACATGCAAATTCACGCCCCAGGCTAGAAAGAGAGAGAGGGAGAGAGATGGGGAGAAAGGGAGAGAAAGGGAAGAAAGACAGACCGAGAAGAGAGGAGGAGAGAGGGGGGAGAGAGAGAGAGAGTGTGCATGGCTGAAATCCTAGGATAGAAGAAAGATTCTTCTGCCTGACATAGTTATTTTAATGCTCTAAAAATCCTGCAAATAAGCCCTTTCTGTCATTTGCAGGATAAGTGTAAGGCTTCTTTTTTAATGTAAGGAGGCTTCTGGAGGAAGTGAAGAGCTATGGAAACAACACACATAGTGTGGAAAAATTTCACATTTTTTTTAAAAAATCTATAAGAAACAACGTAATATGGATAACAGTATAATAGCATTTTACAATATTTCACTCTTTGTTCTCTTAATGTCTTATACAGGTATTTAGCATGTCCCCAGAAGTTGACTTCGGTTGATGTTTTCCTGCTTTTCAGGGTCCCTGTGAAGAACTGGAACGTCCCTTGGTCCAAAGTTGACGCCAAGAACTCCATAGTCATTGCAGAAAGACAATGTTTGAAATCTACCATCGCTGCAGACAACGTGTGTTTTCCCTTAAGCTACTGAGCATGAATGTCCATCACTTGTCCGCTCACTGCTGGCTCGCCGGTATGAAGCATTGTGGGGCTTGATGCTGACATGGGCATTCCAGGGTGGGGTGGTCCTCCATGCATCATCATCGCTGGGTGGTGAGGGTGTCCAGGAATGTAGGTATGCATGGGGGGGCCATGACGCAGCTGAGCAGGATGGGGGGGCATCTGGGGCGGGGTATAGCTTGGCTGTCCCATATTCATACCCATTGGACTACCCCGAGACACATAATCCCCTGGCATACTTTGCAGCCCTGTGGAGAGAAAGAGGTGGTGGTGAGTGGCAGGGATTGGCTGCTGACATCAGGCCGTGTTGCTCATCCGCTCAGGCACAGAAGGCCGGGACGGAGCCCAGGGAGGGATGCAGAGTCGCGGTTATGCGAGCGGGAGTTGCCTTTGTGGAGTCAGAGTCTACGTATGGACTCGCAACGACGGCAACAGGAATGATTCCCAGGTCAAAAGGAAACCTCCCACCCCCCATCCCCCCACGAACCTCCTCTCCCCTCCAAATACAGAGTTTTTGGAGACAAAACCGCTTTCTCCTTTTATGGTTAGGAACATATGCGATGGAGATGTCTCTGATCTGGAAGCACGCAGGAGGCAGAGCCAGCCCGAAGATGGCTGAAGTCACAAGGAGTGGTGGCACCAAGCCCTGTGAGGGCTCTCAGGTGGCTCTCCATTCCCCATGACCTTACTCCAGCCACCTGCCTTCGTCTCCCCACTTGTAAGAGCATGCTGGGGAATACAGGGCAGGGAATCTGTAGTAGTTAATGGGGGGCTCGGGAGGAGAGATGGGTTAAATAGGTGTCAAGGCTTATCACGAGATATTTATTTAGCTCTTGAGTCTGATCACTTGGAATCTGTCCCAAGTATTTGTGCCATTCAAATAGATGCTACACAGCAAGGACATACATTGCTGAACAAAGGCCTTGTATGAAGCCGAAATTGATAGGATTACTAAGTACGACTGTTAAACCAAACCCATATTTTTAAACACATTAAAAATATATACATAATCAATAACAGTTATCAATTCATTCTTTTCCCTCTGCTCACCTCTGGCCACAAAAAAAAAAAGAAAAGAAAAAGAAAAAAAATTCAGACGCACAACTCAGTCAAACCTTTCAGTGGGTTTGGGAGAACAATAAGAAAAAAAATTGGACCTAAAACAATAAAACCTCCTGCTTTCTGTGGGCCTCTGCCTTCTGCTTGGATTGCTGTAGCTGATGGGAACTGACAGGTGTATTGTTTCGGAGAGCTATAAGCTCCATAATCATCAAGGGTGAAAGGCATACGCTATTGCTAAGTAGGTTCAATTGGCTTTAGTTCTAAGTAAGAGCGCGCTGTGAATGCGCCGAACACCTTGGAATCAGGTCTCAAGGCTCTAGCAATGAATAGCTGCTTAATCTAGCCTAAAGGAACAGTTTTGAACTAATGAAAATTGCTTATAAAATATACTGTACTCACAGCTCTTTAATCAAAAAAGATGATAATATTTTTTGTAATAACCTATTAATTTAATTGGTCACGAAGCATAAAATACATCATTTAAATTTAATTGACCCAGAAACTAAGAAACAATATTTAAATTAACTAAGCTAGAAATTTTCATGATGAGGTAATAAGGCTGTTGCATTCCCAAGCTCAGAGGAATGTTTTCACAGCTAATTGTTAAAACTTAGTTTTGACTTGGGCCCAGAGAAGACTACTATGAAATACACTTGCCCTGGGTAACTTCAAACCCTATGTTAATATAGGCTGGGGGCACAATAAAGAGGCTGAAATAACTCTTTCAACTCCAGTAAAGAGCAAGAGGAACAGAATCACAGAATCATGTACCATTTAAACATGGTACCGGTGTACTGGTGTTTCAAACCACTTCACTCTTAAAACAACAACAAAAAAAAAGGAAATACAAAAATTTGTATAATCTATTTTCCCCTATAAAAGACAAGAGGGGAAAAAAAAAAACAAAACTGGGACAGTTTTTCTAGGCTTTCTTCGCGAGGCCTGCCACTGAAGATTGCATTAATGATCTCTATTTTTGTATACTGAATAAGTCAAATCCATTTGTCACACTGCAAGTGATGGCATACTTAATTTGGATATAGTCAATTAGCCTGGGCTAAGCTCCATAGCCTGCTGCGCACACCTCTATTTTGTATTCTCTCTTTTTCCTTTGCCACACGTAATCCCATTATGACGGACAGACAAAGAGAAATAAACTTGAAAAAAAAAAAGAAAAAAAAAAAGAAACCAAAGTTTTGTCCATCGCCTTCCAAAACGCAACTAAGTGGAGCTGCCGGGTTTCTTTTTGTTTTGTTTGGTGTGTTTCTTTTTTCCTACCCTACGAGAAGTCTCTGCTTGGCTTTTTTGGTGTCTTGCAGGTTAGCGGGAGAAATGTAACTCATGCATCAACTGCGGTTAGACAGATTTATGACACTTTGGGGACATGCTCTTTCCTCTCCCTGCGCTGCTGCAGACCGCTTACATTTTGCAAATCAGTCTGTTGCCAAGACGACGGGCTCCCCCACCTCCCCGGCTGCTCCTTGTTTTGTCATGTGCTCGGGGATGGATAATAGCATCAATGTATGGCGGCGTCGATGTACGGCAGCGTCAATGTACGGAGCGCGCGCGCGCACGGGGGGTTTGGGGAGCTTGGAAAGCTTGAGCTGAACCAGAGGGAGAGAAAACCCGAAGGAGCCCAGGCGTAGGATGGATGGATGGATGGAAAGGAAGGAACAAGCATGAGGCTATGGGCAGGGAGAACATAGGGAAATGCAAGAAGACAAATATCCCTTGGACAAAGTGAGAACAAAGACCTCGTTTGTACTTACTTCCCCCTGGCTTTGCCATTGGTTACCTAGGTGAAGGTTACATGTAGTGCCACTGCCCCTCCATGCCCATATTCATGCCCATTCCACTCATAGGTCCTAGAGGGAGATAAAAATCCAAGAAGATGCCAGAAAATGAGCAAAGTCAACAGATAGTGCCAAAAGCCCCTTTCCAAAACACAGCACCGGCAGAGGGTCCAGGACCGCTCGAGCAAGGAGGTGCCTGGTTTCCCTCGACGGTGTGTGGAAGGCAGGCAGAAGACAGGTGAGGCAAGGCAGGCAGCTGGGACGGTAGCGGAGGGTGGAGGTGTGTGTTTACCTGTGGTGGCGCGACCGAGGCCACCCGTAGGTGGGCGATGCTCTCCCGGGGCTTACCTGGCGCTCGGATGCCCATGTGCTGCTGGCCGTCCATCACGAAACCTCCCATCGGCTGCCCGTCGGGGTTATAGGGTGTTCCTTGACTTACTGGAAAAGTGCAGAATGTTGCTTTTTTAGCAGTAGCCAAGAGGGTCACCTCTTCTCACGGCATCGAGACGCAACTCCCCCTGCCCCCCCACCACCCACGGGCTATCAATGTCAGCTCTAAAAAGAGGGAAAAGTATCTACTGTGCGAATTTAGTGCTGGACTAACAAGCACGCTTAAGTTTTGGCCTAATCTCCTTCTGCAAGTTTGGAAACTGAAGTTTGCAAACTGAAATCTTGAGACATGAGGAGCGCCGGCTCCAGCTGCTGCCGCTGCTGACGTCAATGCAAAAACCTGTATAGGAGCCGGATTTTATGGCTGGAATAGTCACACTGAAATCACAGTGTGTTAAATTACGCCCCTGTGCCTTCTAAGAGCAGGACCTGAACACATCCATGCCAGATATTTACCACTAATGACAAATAATCAAATGTACTTGAAGAGGAAGTGTGGCCCAAAGGCATCTTGGACAACGATGTATTTGGAGAGTTTGACAGCAAGACTTGGAAAACAAAACCAACTGGGACTAACGGGCTCTGGTAATCCTTGATGGTAAATACCCACACAGAGCTGCAAGCCAAGACCCCAGACAGAACCAGCATGTGAAAACTTAAGGTCTTTTAAAAAAACAGAAATAAATCCCCCCAAAGTAAACAGCAAACGCTCAGCAATCCCAAAAGACAGCTACTAAAAAGAAGAGCCAAGGGACAAAAGAACCCTGTACAAGTACCACTACCTGAACTGGAGGTTTTGACTGTACATTAAAAGCCGGCTTCAGAAGTAAGCTGCCTTGGGTTATTAAAGCACATAAAGCTCTACCTCATTGAATGTCTTTGAACTTTACTGAGTCCCACAAGCGATTCTGACCCCTTTGCCCTTTTGACAGGTAATAAAGTTTACAGCAATTCCACACCAAGCCATGCACCAGGGAGTGGTCACAGGAGCAGAAAGAGCTGGGAAGGAAAACTCCAAAAAACTGCTAAAAAAAATAAGAATAATTGAGATCGTGTACAGAAAGTCCGGTCATGGAGCGGATCATTGCAGTTTTTCTTTTTGAATTTTCAGTGTCCTTTTTTTTTCCCCCAAGTGTTTTTAATCATGTTAAAAATGATTAGAGTCGTAATGAAAGAAAGCTGGTTGTATTTTAATTGTCAATCACTCCCAGCATTCATTTCTCATTTATTTACCAGGTAATGGACCTCCCGGTGAATGGCTTGAGGATGGTTTTCGCCTGCGTGACTCGAATACAGTTACTATTGGGGACTTGCCTGCTCGATTGGACTGGTCTATCATGGGCTGAACTATTCTTCTTCTAGCATTAATAAACCTGCAAGGAAAAAAAAAAAAAGGAAAGCAAATGGTTAGGGAAGGGATGTCTTCCACCCATCCCCAAGCCCTCTTGCCCTTGCTGTGGCGCTCTCCATCGGGCTGCGTGGGGATGCAAACACCGCTAAACCTCTAACCCTGATGACCTTTGAGAGCACGAGCTTGGGGTTTCCAAGCTGATTTATGTTTGCCTGCTTTTTACCACAGTTGGACACTTCCATTTCATCTTTTCATGGGGGAATTAGCCGAGTTTTCAGGAAACAATACCAGCAACGCTCTTCTCAATACAGAATGGGGCACCGAAAAAACAAAAACGTGTGAAGCGAGATGTTCGTGAGGGCATCTGCTACCTCCCCCCTCATTAGTGTCATTTCTGCCTTATGTCCTCTGACTTCTTTTTCCAATTTTTTTCTTTATCAAAACCTGCCCCTACCTCTTGCAAACCTAATTCCCTTTTAATGCCCACTATTAAGATAATGAACTGTGATGGCAGAACCCCATCAAATGAGGGAACGTCTGGACTTTTATCACCACTAAGTCACACTGCTGGGGACTTCAGAGCCATGCATTCCTCCTAGCCATTTCTTGGTGGGCTTTTTTCCCCCCTCCCTCTCTTTATGCAAAGTCTGAGGGGGTCAAGGCGAGGTCATAGCTTTACAGTAATTGAATTTATAATCCTGTTTTCTCCAGCTAGGCCTGACCATTTACAGCAAACATCTTGTTAAACTGTAATTACTGGACTACCGAAAATTCCCCCCCGAACAATGAAAAGCAGATCTTTGGAAATAATAAAAAAAAGAAGGTATGGTCATTTTTAAAAATAGTCATCTGCAACTCCTTGTGTTTCTGTAGCTTTTCGCCTCAGTTAGTCTTGCAATGCTTATTTGGAAATATTCAAAATAATCTGAAGCAAAACAGAAAAGGGAGTGAGATCACAAGCGCCCCAGTCTCCTCATGGCTCTGAAATCAGGAGGCTGGAAACCGTGGCTGGGAACCTGTCTGAATGAAGAGCATTTGAGGAACCTCTCTTGAGATTTCACTCATCAGAAAGTTTAGTTAAAATCCGTTTGGAAAAAAATCTCCACAGAGATTTGATCACAGCAAAGTTGCATAACCAGACTTTGCATTCTTTATGAGAGACAAAAAGAATAATAAAAATGCGTACGCCTCAATATTTACTAGTAAAGGAAAAAGTGTGAGCATGGGCTTAACCACACCACGCTTGTAAACTGGGATGGGAAAGTTCACAAAGGAATACTTGATACTTGTTTTCATTGCCTTTGCTTGAGGTGGCTTAGCAGGAGCTCTCCTACCACAGAGATAAAGCCACCGGGATCTTTCCGCGGGAATCAGCTCTGCCCACCCATTCCCCTACACCAGAGGGGAGAAGAATAGCAAACCACTGCCCCATGCTGTTTCTTTTGCCCTCATCAAAGACCAGCACAGCAACTTTGGGCTCCTCCTATCTCCTATTCCCCACTGACACCCATTACCCAAAATCCTGCAAAAATAAATGGAGACATCGAGTCCTTATCAGACCCCTTATCTTGAGGAAACGGGCTCAAAGGCACCAAATCTGGGTGCCAATCTGGAAACCTTACACCTGAACTAGGTCATGTTTTGCCAGCAACAGTACTGGATCAATTTTTCTACACATTTCCAATAAACACCCCCCTCAATGCCAGCAAACAGTGTTGCAAATCAGTTTATCATTATCTTGTACAAACCATGAAAATTAGAATCATGTGAGCAGAAGGTTAGACTAATTCTCCTTTCTCATTATAAGCACAGGTGTAGCACAAACACCATGTGAAATAAGCAATTAAAAGAAATCTGCTTTTTTTCCCCCATTAGCTGCCCTAGCTCCATGACCAATTAGAAAATTGTTTAATATCTGTAATCTGCATTTGCAGAAAGCAATTTTCACAGTAACTCTCTGAAGTAAAACAACAACACAGAACCCTAGTGCCTCAGCCATTTCTTTTTGCAAGTCTGACAAGGCTCTTGCTGTGTTTACTCCATCCTTCTCCTGCCACATTCCCTGGACCTGGTACTGTGGAAGCGAGGGGAGGATTTTTGGTAGCTGTGAGAGTGACTGGTCACTGAAACCTTCATTTTTCAATAGCTTTTACCCCAAAGAAATGCTGAGCAACATCAAGCATGCATCCCCAACTTCACGACCTTTTCCTCCTTCTCCTCCAAACAACAAACACTTTTAAGAAGAAGGGAGGGTGATCTCAAGATAATAAACTATACTATACATAGTTTATACACTAATACACCAGAATAAACTATATATTCTAGAGTTTACCAATAATTATCCACAAGACATGCCTATGGTAAAACATATCCTCACCTGTTTGCCCCATGCTATCACTTGGGATATCTGATTTAAGAACATTTTACACACAGGTACTTAACAGTTATCTTCTTCCTACGCATTCATGTAAGTATTTTCTATAAGTAGCAATTCTGCCAAACAGCCCAGTGTTTGGATGTCTTCGGGGGGAATTCAGACGCAAGAACATTTTCCTTCTGGGCAAAGTAATAAAATGACATTCTCGCTCCTCCCACTAGAAGTCAAACGGAGGTCAGCTCCCCATCCTTGTATCTGTTTAAATAAACTGGTCCAGCTGTTTGTTTCCAGGATGCCCTTTAACCTTCTGTCCCATCCTCCCTGCCTTTGTAACACAACGCTTTACTTTGCATTATAGTAGACTCCAAATCACTATGCATTAAAAAAAAAAAAAAAAAAAAAAAAAAAAAAAAAAAAAAAAAAAAAAAAAAAAAAAAAAAAAAAAAAAAAAAAAAAAAAAAAAAAAAAAAAAAAAAAAAAAAAAAAAAAAAAAAAAAAAAAAAAAAAAAAAAAAAAAAAAAAAAAAAAAAAGAAGAAAGTATTCACTTTCAAGTTTCTTCCTGCATCCTAAACCTGGAATTCCTAAGAACCCATCAGATTAAAACTATTAATGTGGCTTGCCCTGAGAGAGCACAGTGCAGTGCTGCTATGTTTATAAATCACATTTGAGAACTCTTTGCAAGCAAAACTGCGAATTAGCTGTTGCTGCAGAAATATATGGACATTGGGTTAATTTCTTCATACTCTCTGTTGGTGTTTTTTTTTTTTTTTTGTTTTGTTTTTGGGTTTTTTTTGTTTTTTTGCTTTGAGAAAAGGGCCAGGATCTTTTGATCATTCTTTGAATTTCCAAGGTGCCAGGCTGATGTTAACATCAGCAAAAATGACATAATAGAAGAGCAAATAGGAAAAATCTCTGCTTTTCCCAAATGTTCATATTCATCTATCTTAAGAGAAAAAACCCTAAGCAACTCTAACTTTTAACAGTTCAGAGGAATCAGAACCTAAAAAACATATTTGCATACTAAATGCTACTGAAATGGAGTATTATCAAAATATAATTCAGAATAAAACTTAAGACAGACGTATAACCTTACTCATTTGTGTAAGGACCCAGTCAGGCTCAAAGACTTGTATAAAGTATTTTTCCCCATACCAGTGGCTCTATGTACTGATACCTTTGCTCTGATGAAGAAGATTTTTTTGTTTGTTTTGGGTTTTCTGCCTCAGAAGAGTAGGATCAATAGTGGCACAGACAACACAAGATCCCTAAGTGTACAAGTCATACCCACCTCCCAGCCCAAGGAGAGCTAAGAACTTTCCAAAATGATTTGGGCTGCTTTCTTTCAGCTTTTTTTTTTTTTTTTTTCCTTTTTTGTTTTGCAAGGGGAAGGATATGGCATGGAGAAAACCTTTCAACAGTTGAGCAAACACAGGAGTTTAAGGTATTTAATATTTTTTTTCAAGTTAAGTTTCCCTTGTCCTATTTGTTCACATGGGATCGCACTTTCTGCCGCGTCCCAAAAAGCAAGAAAAAACCAGCAACTCCACCTGCATAAGCCTAAAGAGGAGGAGGAAACTCTCTTTTCTCCCATTTGCATTTTTACTAGGATGTTTTCTCTTAGGCTTCTTGCCTGGGGTCTGTCTCCAGAGGTCACTGGCAGACTCCCCTGTTGGTGCATCGCCGGTCCCACGGGTGAGCTCCAGCCCCAGCCCCGGGGATGCAGCAATCTGCCTCTGCACTCTGACCTTCAGCTTGGCCGCCCTTGCCGCCACGCACAAGTTTTGTTTCTTCTCAGCAAGAGGCTGCATGGCTGGTGATGACAAAAGACTTATTTTAGTTGGAAATTGGCTACAATAATAGCAGCCAGAGAGCAAGGATTTTCAGAGGGTCACCAAACCCTCCGAAAGGCACAGCTCACTAAGGCTCAGGTTACAGCCCAAGTGACATTTTCCACACAGATCTGTTCTTTCTCCCTTCCCCTTGTATTTCACGTCTGTTGAGTGAATAAAACAAGACCTTCCTCTGCTGTCACAAATTTCCAAAGTCACCTTTGCTCAAGAATCGACAGAGCGATTGTGGGGACTTCCAATTTGCAGTCTTTCAATGAAATTTTCCAGGACCAGCTGTCTGAAAGATGATGCTGAGCCTTCACGGTCTATTGAATTTTTCTCTGCCCCCAGCCCTCCCAAATGAGGAGAGTTTCACACCATTACTGACTTTTGCTACTCGAAGTCCCAGGTTGCTCCCTCTCAATATTGTCCCAAAAGCACTACATGACAGAAGTCTGTGTCTCACTAGCAGTGCAAAGAGGTTCCCAAAAATCTCTCTGCCTCATTTTCTCCTTGAGCTCCTTCTAGAAAACCAGGAGTAAGGAGAATGAGAAAACCCAAAGTACCTACAAACCCCAGCGCTAAAACCTCTCTTGCCCCTCTGAGAAAAACAGTATCCCTCTTGACAACAAGCAAATCATCATTTTTATAACAGATGCCCAAGCAACCAGAGCCCTTCAAACTGGCAAATAATTCACTTGTAAAACCAAGTTGCACTCTTTTCTGCATTCTGGGATCCTTCATTTATATAGCAGCGAAACAACCTCCTCTATTCAGCACTTAATTCCTCAACGCTTAACAGGTTTATCTCTAAT